AGTAGACAACCTAAAGAATGGAAGAAAATATTCGAAAGCTATACATCCAATAAAGAACTAATAACGAGAATCTACAAAGAACTCAAGCAAATCAGCAAGAAAAATCAAACCACCCCATTAAAAAGTGGGCAAAAGACATAAACAGAAACTTCTCAAAAGAAGATAGACAAATGGCTGATAAACATATGAAAAAATGCTCAATGTCACTAATCGTCAGGGAAATGCTAACCAAAACCACAATGAGATATCACCTTACCCCAGTCAGAGTGGCTTTTATTAAAAAGCACAAAAACAATAGATACTGGCAAGGTTTCAGAGAGAAAGGAATGCTTACATATTTTTTGTGGGACTGTAGATTGGTACAACCACTATGGAAAACAGTATGGAAATTCCTGAAAGAACTAAAAGTGGACCTACCATTTGAAACTCCATTTTTAAAAAATCTGTAAAGTAACAAAAATACCATATTTCACAGAATCTAAGACTATGTCACTATAAGATCGATTCTCAATAAAGATGTATTTAAAATGTGAAAACATGGCCAAATACATCCTGATGGCACTGGGGTTAAGAGTGTAAAAACTGTGTATCTTAGGATCTATGATATATGGTAATACCCTCCTTATAGGTCATGTCTCTTCCTTGTGAGGATTAAATGAGATAGTATGTGTCAAGTTCTCAGTCCAGCACCCAGTAAATGCTCAAGAAATGTTGGAGTCTTCTATTGTTGTCATCTTGTTATTTAGAGCTGGCCACAATAGTAACAGAAGGATATACTTCACTCAAGTCATCATAATCTAGCAAAACAACCTGGATGTTGTCTTTTCCTTACTCCAGGATAAGATATGAGAAGCCCAACATGCAGGAGGTAGGTCCAAAAGTAAATCTCAAATGAAGATTATGTATAGAACATGGATAAAACTGACAAATGAAAAATGAGTCTTCTTTCTTCTGCTGACGGAGACTCAGATCTGAGACATGATTTTCCCGAATCCCGAATGTATAAGAGAAATGTTTTTAAAAAGGGTATTGGTCCAATGGTGGGTTGCAGTGCTCCTTTGAATTTGGAGTAGGGGAAAAAAAACTTCCAGAATATTTTGCTAGCTTTTCTAGTGTTTGTTTTTTTTTTCTTTGCCTCTCACTAACAGCTTCTTCTATTACATTCCCTATGACTTTTGAATTGATTGTTGAGTGCCTCACCGAAAACTCTCTGTGAAGCCTCCTGTGATGTGAGTTTTTATTTAGGCCTGGAGGGGTCTGTAGTGGGATGAAGAGGTGCCAAGAGTTGTCATTCAAACTCTTTTCACCTGCCTCCAAAGCAGCTGGTTCCTGGATTGGTCTAGGAGTGGGCCTTACGCCAATGAACAGCCATTCATTGTCTTTTGTTGCCAAAGACAATGCTGCCAGTGGTAGAACATTGATGTAGAAAAACTATGCCAGAATTGCAGTAAGTGAAAAAATGCCTGCTTTATGCCACTGCCTCTAAAGCAGTCTACTTTTCTCACAGTTTGGACTCAATAGCATTTTTGGAGACATCATAGATGGAAGTAGGGTGTATATGAATGTATTCAAAACACAGCCCATATGAGGAAAATCAGCCTCATGCTCTCATGTGACAGGTAAATACAATAAAAATGGCTCTCCTATAGAAAAAAAGCCTCATTATTTTTCAGGGAGATTCTAAATTGGTCACTTCTTCTATTTCTTATTTCAACTTGTTTCAATATCAGAATTGATATAAACGGTATATAAAGAAGGATAAAAAGAAGTTTGTGGCAGGAGTTTATCTACCTACTTGGGTTGTCTACTTATAAGAAAAGGAAATAAAATGGAAATTTTGATTGACTGATTACACCACGTAAAAATTAGATTTTATGTGGTCACTGCTGAATTGATAGCCTTCAAGGATTTTGAGAATGAAACTCAAGAGGCAGTTCTGGATTACAATGTCAGAGAAAAAAAAATCATCTGAGGAGTCAGTGGCAACCTGAACATGTGGGCCGGCTGACTGCAGTTCACAGATACAGGCTTCGTTTCTGCGGCATCCCAGTCTTGCCTCAGGGTCCAGAGTATGATGTGGCACAGTTTGGGAGTGCCGCTGAGTCATCATCCCATGCATATCATGGTGTATCTATGCCATGCTCCTGCCTCCTGCCTCCTAGATCCACTAAAGGATCCCTTGGGGACTGCAAATTCCATTTGATTTCATTTCTCCTTAGGAAAAAATGCACTCAACGATGTCATAAACTTCCTGGAACTAGTTTCCTTCAAGGTTGCCTTGGAAATTTTAAATATATATACAAGTTCTACCTTACACATCTTTAATTTTAATCTGGTGTTGGAGATGTCGTGATGGTGGGCTACCCCCTGTGGTTAAGTACCGTGAGGGGCTTATTCAATGGGGTTGAGTCTTAATGATCCTCTCACCTGGGCACCCTTGGATCAAGAACACAATGTGAGAGGTGAGTGGCCAGGAGATGGGTCTTCGTTTGCTATTTGCATAAAGTGAAGAGAGGACATTGGCTTCATTAGCACCAATGAACTAACCACTTTCTCCCAGTAGCAACAACGGAAGCTTGAATCTCAACATTGGTGTGAACCCTACTTGTTGTTTTTTTGAAAAACAAAAATTCACTTTCCCAGGGCTT